GCGATGCTTACTATGTCGTCGACCTTGGAATATACATCAATTATACACTTATCTTTTTCGGCATCAACCTCCACATAACGCACTCTTGTGGATTGTATCTGCACTGGAACTAACTGTCGCTTCCAACGACGTAATACGTATTTTTCCGGAATGCATTCAACTTTGTCATTTATCAGTACCTTGAATGCGTGACGACAAAGATACCCATTACGCGTAAATAGGTTGCAATCACATTCGACTGTGTTTGTTGAGTAATTACGGCACACCTATCGTGTCAGAAATAGTAAAAACAACACCAGTCAAAATAAAATTAAAAAGCATAGGAATCATTTTGTAGAATGTGAGTTGGAGATATAATACCTAATACGTAATTTTGTCAGATGATTTCTTGGTCTTGTGGCTTATCACGAATGACTTTAACTCATCCCGGCATTCGACGGTCTCAATATTACAAAACCAAACAGCCTTTTTTATTTCCTTTTGGATGTCAAAATACACGTTTCGACTGTATATGCTTGATGCATGACTTTCTAAACGCAACGGAGTAGCAAACTTTGGATTAGTCGTTCTCGTGACATTTTCGTGGATAGATTGTCTGTATCTTTGTTTCTCTATAGCTACGTCATAATTATTAAGGAATTGAACCAAATCAAACCAGTACGATTCGTATATGTTAATATATGAATTCGAACTCTCAGATCTTGATGTTGTTTTCATTAGTCCAGACATCGGCATGTCCTTATAATAGGCAGGGATCCATGAGTGTCGGATTTCATACATCTCTGTGAACCAAGTATCCCCACCTAGATTGTATTGATGTATCATCTCATGCCAACGAGTCTCGAACTCCGTTGGCCCAATATGTATGTTCCATATGAGCTTGTTGATAACTTTATTGAAGTTAGGATCGTGATTTAGTGCGGCACTAACCTGGGGTTACAAGGATTCAACAAATGAACGAATAACACAGAAACCTCATTTAAATACAATAGAATTCAGAATATACTACTTACCTTTGAAGGTACCTTCTTCATAATGTGCCACATACAGAGTCTATGCTTGGCTTCCGTGAAAACCATCGGGATAGCCTGCTTCATCGCTGAACATTGGTCTGTAATCACGAACAAAGGTTGCTTATCATGACATTTTAGAAAAGCGTTTAGAACCTAAAAAAAGTTATCAATTGTCTCGCCGCTTATTAGAGCGGATCCGACAACAACGGACGCCATGGTTGTCAACAGTCAAGAAGGGAACGAAGATCATTGCATGCCTGTAAAAATATATCGAATATTATGAGTATGTATTTGTAGCCACGTCATATGCCAATAAAAAAAATAGAAACATTATGAAAGGCAATAACTGTATTGCACTTGGGAATCTTACTTGTTAGTGCAAAAAGTCCCGTCAAATGATATGACATCACCGAATCCTTTGTAGTTAATTCTAGCAACTTCATCCGCCCAGAAAATTGCGCTCAACTCCTGTTCATTGCACTTGTATTCGAAAAAAAAACCCGGGGACAATATCCCGTCTGTTTGATAATTTATTGATCAACATCTTCGCGTCCTTATTCCCAACACAAGCAACATCATCCCTCTTAAAATTCTTGAAGTCGATTTCGGAAACTCGCGTATGTTCAAATCCCCCGTTCAATGCGGTTTGAATACGGTGAGCCCTTCTCGCA